GCCCGTTTTGGTTCAAGATGCAAAATTCTTCTGTGTGAACTTGGCAACTTGTTTAGTCTATCTATTAACGAGTGCAGTCTACTTTAAGAGATCATTTAAGATATCTGGCTGACTCAAAGCTAATAGCCAACATTCTTCTCTCCTGGGTCACCACCCCTTTTTAGACGGCGAGGTCCTGGAACAAGAAAAGGGTGACTAAATTATCCGATCCCGATCACTCAACACTGGTTTCTGTCTAGAAAATATCATTGGATCATAGCATCTACAGACCTTCAGAAAATATAAAACTATCTCGACAAGAGGCGGAGAAAATTTTCGGCGAAGTCCTCCATAATAACTATGAAACAACCAACAAGTGAATCATGCGAATTCCACCCAGGATTTTACTTCTCTTTATTTAATACCTGTCTTAGACACTAAGGACGTGAATGATTCGCAACAAGGACGATTCTCAACTCGCCTGTCGGAATCAATGAATGGAGTGGAAGGAAAATGGCAAAAATTGCCTCAGATATATACTGTTTTATTGTCCTTCGATCCTTAAATTAATCCAACCAAAGCGAGGGAAAAAAATCTTATTCCCACAGCAAGCACAACTTTAGTGCACAAATGGCTAAAACCAGACGCCATAGTTTATAATGTTTTGTTTTTTGCTGTTAACATAATTCTTGTATTACCAAGTTGTTAAGAATAACTACCATGATCAGTCCAGGCAGAAGCATACCCTGAAGCCTAAAAAAATGTACCCTTTTGGACGAAGCCTCCCCGGTCGTGTAGGCCGTTATACGCAGTATTCCCCCTTCTCATAGAAGACAATGGTTATCTAAACGTTAACGAAATAATTCATTCGCTAATTTTAAACCTGTTTTCTTTTCAGTTGACTACTTTCCTGCTGCGCCGAGGGAGCATTTAATACGGTAAATGTCCTCGAAAACAAAACGCAAAACACGTATCGTTTGGCCTGCGTGGCAGGCCGTAGAAGGGGAGAGAAAGGGTCAAAATAAGCGCGCAGGGGAGGATCGAGCACGCTACGAGGAGGGATGGCGTTCCCTTCCATCACGCGCGCTTCGCGCGCTCGTGTTTTCTTCTTTCCCTCCCCTTCGGACACCTGCCATGGAGGCTAAGTATCGCTATAAACGTAATACTAACATGAGCATACCTTTCTTGTATAGCTTGTCAAGCCTGGGTGGTTTTATTTATTTATTTATTTATTTATTTATTTATTTATTTATTTATTTATTTATTTATTTATTTAAAGCTCACACATTTTGCAAGACGTCAGCGAGAAATGATGAGATTTCACGTCATTAATTTCCTTGTTTAGCGCTTGACGTGACCGTCAAAATATTTTTATTTTAATACACATTTACGTTCTAGTTCTCTATTACTACTCTAACGTATCTATTCAAGTTATTTTTGTATAAGCTCATGAACTCCGAGCAGTGACTCTTCGCTTCTCTGGCCTTCAGCCAAAACTAAAGATTTATCGATTTTATCGATTTTAGTTTACTGAGATGTTTGAACCAAATTATAGAACACCGATGCTTTGAGCCGTTTGATCACAAACATAACTCGACCAATATTTTCCCCATCACTCTACTCATGCACGTCC